CCTCGCTATGCGAATTCATCGCATAGCGAAGCACTCGCTAAGCGAGGCACCACTGTACTTGTTAGACAACTACTACCACTACCCCATTGAGAGCAACAGGATTTACTTTAAATTAGACATATATAGGATTGCACCAATAATGCACCATGGAATCATGTGGGGAGCAATATATAGCCTGCATAATTAAATTGTAAACCCCCCCAGATAGTGCTTTAAGTGCTATATAGTGGTGCCTCAACTTACAACCATAATCCATTCCAGAAGATGGATGTAACTCGAAATGGTCATAAATCAAAGCACCATTTCCCCATAGGAATGCATTGGAACGGGAGTAATCCGTTCCAGCAGGGGAAAAAATCACAAAAAAAGCAAAACCCACAGCCAGCCCCATCGGAACAAGATGGGGCTGAAAAACATATCAAAAAAGCGTGCAAGCATGCGTGCACACACACACATAGCCAAACAACAAAACAAAGCAAAAAAAGCACCGACACAAAAAACCCAAAGCAAAACACACACACATGCACACACACACACCACAGTCAGCCCAATCGGAAAACACAAAAACACCCCCACACACAGAGCACAGAAACACAACGCCCCCAAACCCAAACAGTCTGAAGCTTCCTCCGACGCACACACTCTAACCGTTGGGGCGAAAGCGCTACAAATAAGCTCTTTGCTGACCAATGGTTAGCCCTCTAATTTGAATTCCCCGCCTTTATTCCCTGCCTCTTTTGATCGCAACTCGAAGCTCCAGCCGCAAGTCGAAGCAAAATTTTGCGGCCAGAGCTGGTCGCAACTCAAAATGGTCATATGTCGGGACGGTCATAAGTCGAGGCACCACTGTATATATAATCATGATACATAAAACTGCCAGCATAAAAATATATGTGGCCTGCAAACCAAACTTTTACCAAAATTCTACCAGATGAGTTTTAATATGCTGCTTTTTAAAAGTGCCCTGGATAGCAATTTCAACCACCAGACACATCACTAGCTAATAAAAGCAATTAGTAAACCTAGCAGTGGAGGCCAAAAGCAAGGGAGGGAAGAACATGTAGGACAGGTAACATTATCTACAACATGAGCCTGGTCATTAGTTAATCTTCCCACATAAGAGAATGTATCAATTACAGTTTCCACACAGTTTCAAACTCTTGTATAATTAATATTAAAATAGTCAACAGTTCAGTGCAATTTGTTATGTCAGTACTATATACGTTTTGTGTTGCTATCAATATATTATGATGACCTATGGTTTTAAGGAATAAAGCTTGTTCTTGTGTTCGCTCTTTCTTCCTTCCTTGCTTTGCACTGCAGCTCAAAGTAACTGCCGGACTTTTAAAGAATTTTCAATGCTCCAGAAGGACAGGGATTGCCTCAAATGTTTGGAAAATTAAAATGAGCAAGATGACTTTTCACAAAGAATTAAGTGGTTGACATCTGTACAGTATATTGAAATACCATACCTCCAGGGAAGGGAGGTATGGTATTTCTATGTATGCTCTGAGGTCAATGTGATTTTCCAGGACCTCCTAAATATTCCTGAAATGTTGATTTTAATCCTTGTACAATGTACAATCACTAAAGCTGATATACAGTACACATTTCAAAGCCCCAGTGTTCACATTACACTGAACTTTAAAATCCTTTATGTCTAGGTGTCATTTATGAGAGTCAGAGTAGAAGAAAACCTAAATTAGAAAATATAAATGCTACAAATTTTGTAAAACCACTAACAAAACTTTTGTTTGGGAAATTTTATTTACAGTACTGTTATACCAGGAAGCCATAAATTTTTTGGAGCATAAACTACTTTGTAAAGGTCAGAAGAGATTTAAAGGCTGTAAATAAAGTTTTAATCTCTTTCTCATGATTCCTGAACTTCATGAGTATCTGATAGCCTACCATGACATTTGTGGTGTTAATGTAATCACAATAGCATCATCCTGTGGAATTAATTCATATCTACAATTTGAGAAAGGTCAGATTTAAATCAAGCCCATTTGCATCTTCATAAAGTCTTCAGGTTTTATTTCCTAACAAAAAGGCAGCATCTCTGTCATTTCATAATAGAAAAATGTGTTCCTTAATTTTGCAGGATAGAGTAAATCATTTTCATCTCAGCAAATGGCACACAGGTGCGAACATATTCCTGAATGTACTTCAAAAGTGAAAAATGATTAGAAACCAAAGGCAAAAACTATGTACTTTTCAAGCTAATACAAAGAAGAACAGTTACAATACGAATGCCTCTGTTTAAATGAAAGGTTATTTTAAGTTCTGAAGAAATTATAAATTGAGAAAAATTACTTTTTCCCTTTGTCAGAATAAATTCTTGTTGTTGTGGCAAATGTATTTGCATTATTTGTACTGTAGTAATTCATTGCTCTGGTGCCAGCATTCATACACAGGGCATGGAAATGTGCAAGAGAAAAGCCTACACATATAATTCTCGTATGTCCATTGATTTTCTGGAAGCTGGAACCTACAACTTAATGCATGGACTTAGGAAGTGTGAAATGTGGCATAGCATAGTCGCGAGTCACCCATTTCCTAGTGATCATGAAGTTGGCTTAGATATTTTGAATATGCACAGAATGGAATACTGGATATCTACAGTGCCAAAATCTATTGAGAAGAGATGTGTGCAGAAGGGAAATTGAGTATCTCTTTCTCTCTCTTTGCTTGTTGTTCCCTAACCCTAACCCTAACCCTGTGCCCGCTACTGATCAAGCAGGCATGCAACTGCTTCAGACTGCAACAACTGAGCAAGGCTGTTAACAGGAGAACCGTCTGAAGGTCACTCATTTATAGGGTCACCATTAAGTCAAAGCCAACTTGGCAGTACATAACAACATTTAGAGACTGCAAGAATGTAGCCTTGCACCTACTGAATTTAGAAGTGAGCCTGGTCTTCTGGACATCTATATTAGCCTTCTCCAGTCTGGTGCCCTCCAGATGTCTTGGATTGCCATTTCCCTGATGATACTGGCTAGGAGTGGGGGGGGAGGGTTCCCAGTACAGCCAGTCCTGCCCACCCCGTGACATGAAAGCAACGGCATGAAAGAGAGAAGCTGCTTTATCCAGGCAGCCTTGCCACATGAGCTAGGGCGGGCTGGTTTATGTGTTGTGCCTGCCTGGATACAGCAGCCTTCACTTCCTCAGACTGATGCTTTTGAATGTTGAAAGTGACAACAGCAGGGATAGGGTTAGCACTCTCCTCTCATTGTAACTGGATTAGTGCACACTTACAGTATGACTAAATAAGGCTTACAAATAAAAGGGTTCCACTCTTGGAATACAACCTGTTAAACCTAGATGCCATGCTCTATACATTTGGGTTTCACTTTGGGATTTCTTTCTAACGATTGTTTGTAGAGACATGAGTCTAAGTATTTGGCTACAGAAGTTGGCTGTCTAAGCCGCCAGTGGAGTGTTGTGTAACCAAAGGAGTGATGTCGTCCATATATGTGGATCGTTCAGTATCTTCTTCACTGCTTTCATGTAAACTCCAGTTTCTAAGAAGTGGCTAAAAAAGGAAATGTGACATATTTCACATATCCTCTGTTTCCAGATATTGGCATCTGTGTCAAGTTTGCATAATGTGGAGCAGGTGACTGACGGGGTGCCAAGATGCATCTCTGTCATGTGCCTGGTTGCATAATCAAGATGCTTCCCTGCACCTCACAAATTGGACACAGTAAGTAATGCAAACACCAGTAAGATTCTGGCCATTACATCATAAATCACTCCCCATGGATCATCCTAATATATAGAATCTTGTATTCCAGAATTACTGAAAACTCAATGTTCTAAATCCTTTGTTTGGACATCAATTTAAGTACAACACACACCTCTCTAGAAACAATTAAGTACCATAAGATTTTTGTTTGTTGTTCAGAAGAGTAGCCGTCTGAGTAATTCATAGAAATGTTATGTTCACAGCAAAACTGATGAACCCTTGAACATTTTGCAGGATTAAAGACCAAGTAAAAAGGATGGTGCAAGTATGTTGAAGTATGCATGATTCTTGAAGATAATAAATGTGTAAACAGCAGAAATGGTCAATCATTTCTGAGTAAATTCTGAGTTCTCTTGCCAGTACCACAATGAGGAAGATTCAAGAACAGCAGTCAGCTTGACACACGTTACATGGAGGATAATGTAATACCACTTGAGAGCAACTCCTTAGATATTGAAGGTAGAACATGTGTACATTTTGCTTGAGGAATCAGTAACAAGGAAAACAGGAATGCAAAAAGTAGTGACCAACCCACCGAGACCAAATATCAAATCATCCTGTAGAGTCCTAGCATAATCCTCTTGTGCCAGCTGTCTTTGCCAACAGCATGCCACTGCCCTTCCAAGCATACTGCAGCCCAGCAGAACCATCCAACTGCAGTCTTCTTGCATCTTCCCATTATATCCTGTTGCCTGCTCCTCCCCAGGCTCCTTTTCAGCTCTTGACTTCATGAAGTAGGAACATTTCTGCTGCAATGGAAGGGCCATTACATGCCACAGATGATGGCAGGAGAGGTTTACAACAGGATGCCAGGAGAGTTGCTGCACACTCTGTGACCCCAGGCTCCAAAGCAGCCTGCATTCTAAAATCTTCAGTCTCGAGTCCCTTTCGACCATGACGGCAGGAGGGGCAGGGGACTCCTAAACAGTCCCTTTGGAAACAAACACACAAACAAAAAAATGCCCCACAGCCCCAGAAGAAATTCCATTTATATACAATGTTTTGCAGCTAGATGTTGAATTACTAGTTAACTGAGGCATTAATACCAGGATGCTGAATCAGGCATCTTAGAAGTGTTTATTACAAGAGATCAGTCGCATCTCAGAATTACTGTCAGTGTAAATCTGAATTCATCTTCAGACAATTCATAGATGCCGGAACAATAGAAACTCCATCAGGAAGCACCTTTTGCAGAGGTGCAGATACCCTTTGGACATTAATCAGATGCAATATTCATCACAGAAACAGGAAGTATTGGTTATTGTTTTTATTATAATTGTTGTGGTGGTTTCTATTTCCGAGTACTGGTTTATATTACGTTAGTGTGGATTTTGAAAAGCAAGTTTACACTTCAAACTCTACAAATCAGCTGTGAATAATGTAGCAGAGTCACTGAGAAGAAAACATTTGATGCTCCAATCATTAGCTGCTTCACTAATCAATGTTTTTTTTTTACTAGCAAGTACACAATTTGATACTTCTTTCCCTTAATTTCATTTCCAAATCTTACTGTATAAGGCGGGTTATTTTGTCTGCGTATCTACTCCATTTTCTAAATGTTCTAGAAATATGCTCACCAAGTATATGGGAAGAGGTAATGGACCATTTATGCTAGTATTAAAAGAATTATTTAGGCAGGTAATAATATCTCTACTTACTTCATTTGCTTATCTTATATACACTATTCTTTTAAAGCCTCTGGGAGTGCAATTGACAAGCGCATAGTCTTCAGAGGATTGTACTGTGCTTTCAGAGTAGTGCAAACATATCACAGTTTTCAGTTCAACTGACCAGGTGTTCAGCAGAGGCACTGTCTAACATTTAACTGTTTACCTCGGAATGAACCACACAAGGAGAAATGGAAAGAGAAGTTGTCAGAAAAGTTTGAAATCAGAGTAGCAAATCCTGAGATCAGTGGAAAAGAACATTGTCTGCAGAGTCTCCAAAACTGAAATAAAAAGAGGACTTGCCAAACAGCACTTCCCTTTAAAAAAAACTGGTTTTTTGCATTAAAAACATTGCCATTGCTCTAGCAAGCACCCGTTGGCAACATTTCGGCAAGTTTTAAACCTTGTTATGCCAACAATGTAACATTTGTGTAATGACTGGCATTTGAAGTGTAAGAGGTGTGTACCATTTTTTGGGATATTCTTAGTACAGTATTTTTAAAATAATAATAACGTAATGATTAATATAATAGTTGCCATAAATTCATCCTAATACTTAAACATTAAGTCTCCAAGCACCAGTATGGAGATTTGTGTGTGTTATAGAGGAATTTGGTCCAAAGCTCAATCACATTTGATGCAGTAACTTGCCCCCCCTCCCTCAGATAGGTACAAAAATAATATTTTCATAAGGATACCCTTCATCATGAGTTCACAGGAAAACTGGGCGTTTGGCACAGTTTATATTCTCTTAGTCACTTTTAGTCAGTATAACAAGAGTCCTATTATAGATTGAAATGAAACTTAAATCATCTTTACACCATTTACAGGAGAAAGACAGCATAGAAGTGCAGTAAATAAATAAATAAATAAAATCATTTATTAGTTATAATTAATGTACAACAGTTCTTGTTTGCAGCTGCCTACCTTAAGAGGACAGTTTTCAAAAGTCAACAAAGCTGTTAGAAGAATCAGCAACTTAATTAGGCAAGTCCCCCTTGCATTTCAAGTTATTCGTTTCAAAATGAGGAAGATGTGCAAACTGTCAGAAATAATTTCTGATTGTTTTGAACTGGGTGAGCTGCACAACACATAGATTTTTGTGCTTACCTGTTACTTTATCAATACATGTAAGCAGCATGGCGTAAAATCAACAGGGTCATAAGTATGTAAGTCACTCAAAACACATTTGATCAAGATGTTCAGTGGGTTTTAAAATGCCATTTTATTTCCTCTTTGCTGATAGAAAAAATCATTTCAAAACCGCTACAAACCTATCTACTTCAGGCAAACTGTTGCATTGTAGCATCAAAACCCTATGTTAAAGGCGTAATTACCCTTCTGATATGATATTCAGCAACAGCTATTCCCCTATATTAGCAATGATGCAAAATTCACCAGATGAGTGCCTTCTGTATTCCTTACCAAGCATGTGAACACAGGTGAAGAACACATGTTGTATGCTTTAATAAAAGACCTGCTGAAATAAATGCAGTTTGCCTTGCAGGGCCATCGCTGTTAAATAAAAACACCATCACCATAATCTTTACTAAAGTCCAAAGTCAGTGCAACACCACTTTGATAATAATATTGTTCATCGTGTGCAAATTTAGTTATGAAGTCCAGCGCCACCAAGCCACCTTCATCCTGTCCCACACAGCAGTCAGGGAATCAAAAGCAGGACGGACATCCAAAATGGTAAATTGATAGTTCTTATCTATTTCTCCTCCATCATAATAATCAATAACATATCGAACTTCTGTTCCACAGCGGTTCACAATCCAATCATGTCGATCAAAAGGAAGCTCATACCTCAAAAGAAATACATTATAATGATTTTAAACCAAATAAATAATCCAATTTTACAGAATTGTAATCACAGAAGATACAAGCGTCAAGCTTTGCATTTAAGAATCAGTTATAAGTTCTGTTATGTCACCTTGTAAAACACAAAGGTTCTAACTCATAATAGTTTTCAATTTAAATAGCACATAATTTTACTTACTTACTTACTTACTTACTTACTTACTTACTTACTTACTTACTTACTTACTTACTTACTTACTTACTTACTTTTACTTACTTACTTACTTACTTACTTACTTACTTACTTACTTACTTACTTACTTACTTACTTACTTACTTACTTACTTATACCCCGCCCATCTGGTCTAAGACCACTCTAGGCATTATTATTAATGTGATAATAAGACATTATTATCACATTACCCCCCTCTTAAAACAACTCCACTGGCTGGTGATCAGTTTCCGGGCACAATTCAAAGTGCTCCTTTTAACCTATAAAGCCCTAAATTGCCTGGGTCCAAGCTACCGCAAAAATTCTATCTCCCAATATGAGCCAGCTCAGGTGTTAAGATCATCAGGAGAGGCCTTTCTCTTGGTCCTACCACCTTCATGGGTGCAATCGGAGGACACGGGAGAGGGCCTTCTCTGTTGCTACTCCCAGACTTTGGAACTCCCTCCCACAGGAAACTAGGCTGGCCCCATCATCTCCTTCCACAAGCAGGCAAAGGCCTTTCTCTTCAGGCAAGCCTTCTTTCAGTGACTGGCTATCTGAGTGTGATTTCTAGATGAATTGCTATGCATTACTGCTTTGACTGGGTTTTTAGTACTATATGTCTTTTCCATTTCTCAGAGTGGCATTTGTTCATTCCTTTTTAATATTTGTATACTTACTGGTTTTAGCTATAATACTGGCTTTTAATGATGTAAGCTGCCTTTTTACACTCATTGTTCTTAGCTTTCAATGTTAGCTTCTAATGATCTAAACAATCATTGTACATTAATTGTCTCCGACTTTAAACATTATCTTTCTATGACGTAAGCCACCTTGGGTCCTTTTTGAGAAGAAAGACTGGGTAAAAATATTTTAAATAAATAAATATTTGCAACATACCCCATCCAGGATCGGATCCTGGCTCTTGGTGAGTATTCTTTAGCTTTACCACCAAACCGACTAAGTGTTGGTCCATATGGACACTCCCTAGAAAGCAATTTCAGAAACACAAGCTTAGGACTATAGCCAAAACCAATGCGTTTTTTAAAAAAATCAAGTGCAATTAATTCTATGATTGTCTGCTTGAAAATCCCATGGAGTTTGAAGGGACTTGCTTCCAAGCAAGAGTATACAGAACTTCAACAGATCTCTGTACAAGGTGGAAATTTCTTTTGAAATGCAAGTCACAGCTTTTATATATAATGATTTTATGTATAATAAAAAAAATAGGATGATAATTGCATTCACACAATTGATGCCTTGTGTCACTTGGCCTTTAGATGAGAAAGAACATCAGAGTGACTTGCAATTAAGAGAAATCAGATTTTAGAACATTAAAGGGCAATAGAGTTTCAAACTTCAGAAAATAAAAACAGGCCAAATATTGTCAGTGAAATCCTTTTTGAATGATCTACACCAACTTGTTTCCATTCGTCTTTGAAAACATATACCCCAACTGGAAACCTAGCTTTATAATAAGAAAATTCCACTCCTGCATACTATTCCCTAACAACATACTAAACTTCAAAAGTACACTTCAAATTTGTACATATACTAGCCTGGAATGAAGTGCTTCCCATTTTAAAATTTCCTTCCAAGCCTGTTCATTATTCTTATTATGAATCTTGATAATATTTGTCATATCTTCAGGTCTTAGGTCTTCATCTTTCCATCTCCATCTAAAGAAAGCAATGTTAAAGAAGTTAGTAAATATTAGAAGTAATTGTTTTGTAACAATTCCAAGAGCAAGGGAGGGTTGGGTTTTTTTGGGGGGGGGGTTGGAAAAAGTACGGAAGAAAATCACACATGCTGCATTAAGGTCCACCATGTCCCTAATCTTCTTCCTCTAAACAAAACAAAAAAACAAAAAAAAAACATGTTTACAAAGCACAAGCTAAGTTCACAAATGTCAACAATAATTGGTTTTATGACTATATTATCATAGCATCAACAAACTGGCAAGCAAGCCTTTATAGGATTTGGGGCTCTTTAGGGTTAGATATAACAAATTTAATGACCATTGACTTCAGTGGACTGATTATGACTAGTGAATGTACTGGTGCAAGCTACAAAGTCACTCTCACTTACAATCGGAGTGGTTAAACTATTCAAGTCACTCATTATAGCCAAGAAAGATGACTGAGGGGCCTAACACCGAGAGAGGCCCAGAAAGAAAGAACAAGAAACCGGGCCTTCTTGGCAGTGGCCCCTCAGCTTTGGAACAGCTTGCCCCCAGAGAGCTGCCTGTCACCCTCACTGGGTGTTTTTAAGAGCCAATTAAAGACTTGGCTCTTACCTTTACTTAGTATTTTGTTCTATTTTCCATCTTGATCAATACTAACACTGTCGATTTAATTCATGGTTTTAATTGTTTTATGAAGAATTTTATTTTGAGCCGCCCTGAGTAGACATAGTCTAGAAGGGCGGGATAAAAATCTAATAAATAAATAAACAAACCACTGTTCTCTAGGCAGTTCACACCTCTCTTCTTAGTTTATATTGATAAGAAATCACAAAACCAAGCCAAAAGCAGAGAAAGGGGAAATTACCCATTGCTAGACTACAAAATAAACTGAACATGACACTCCACAATTTCTTTAGCTGATGCTTCAACGAGCCAGATTTCATGTTCAGTCCTGTCCTGTCCTGTAGCATGAATACAATGTATGTGTTTTCACAACAGGTCACTGCTATGTTTCTTGAAAGACCCAGTCCATGAAATTATTATTAATTTCCTAACCTTGAAGACTACGTAGAGTATGCTAATATTTTTAAGACTGCATACCTTATGGAGAACACTTTGGAAAACAATGTAAATATATGGTACAATAAAAGTACCATATTTTCTGTGTATAAGATGCCCTCATGTATAAGAAGCTGCCCACTTTTTTAACCCAAAATTTATTTCATTGCAAGAAAGTGGAGGGGGAATGCATGGATCAAAGCGATCCACTTTCGTTGCAAAAAGCTGCTTTCCCCCTACACTTTTTGCAACAAAAGTGTAGGGGCAAAGCAAGCAGGGTGTGTGTGGAGCATCCCTTCCTGGCAAGAGCATGCCACATGAACTTTGCAGCCTTTTTTGGCTTGACTGCCATAGGCGAGCGGGTTGGCTAGGGCAAGCAATCGTTTAAGGCAGAAAGGAGGCAGCCAAGACCCGCGATGGTCCCTCCTCTGCGGACGAGCGCCTGGCAAGGCTTCTCATGGCCAGAGAGGGAAAAGACCAAAGGGAAGACGAGCCCGCCTCCGTCACATCAGCTAGCGAGAGAAGGACTGGATGTCATTGGTGGCACAGTATGACTCCGAGTCTACCCCTCCCATTGGCCGCAAACAAGAGCGCACCTCCCTTTGTCTCCCCCTCCCATCCGCCCCAAACAAGAGCGCACCTGTCTCTTCTTGGCCGAAGCTTTGATCCCTCCCCCCTCCTTACTTCCGTGCATAAAATGACCCTCAATTTTCCCTCTATTTTAGGAAAAAGTGTTGTTTTATACATGGAAAAATACAGTATATAGTATATATAGAATCCCACATGGGGGTGGGATGTATTCCACAATTTTGGTCAGGAATGGGGAATATTGTTATCAGACTGCAACAATCACCAGTCCTAATTAACCAACAAATGGTGAGGAATGGTAGGAGCTGTAATGAAGAACGGCCACAGGTTCTTCACCTACAGTCTACACTAGCACATATCTGGGGATTTTAAACCTTGAGTACTCAGATATTTTTGGACTGCAACTCCCAGAAATACTGGCCAGCACAGCTAGTGGTAAAGGCTTCTGGGAGTTTCAGTCCAAGAACATCTGGAGACCCAAGGGTGGGAACCACTGGTCTACACACTGCTTTGAAAAGACCTAGTCCTCCATCACAAGCTATGATGATCATGATCAGCATCAACTCCTGACTGACATATGATACACCCAGCACAGAAGGACCAGATAAGCAGTTTCTATTAATCTTTTTAATCCTAGATGGGTTGGGTCAGGCTGCAGAGAGAATGAGGAAGCACTTCTCGTGCTTCAATTCATGCTTTACTTCCATCAGCACCACTAACCTATTCTACAAACTGATACAGAAATTCATTTGCAATTCACATACCCTTTCCTAAGCATTGCATTCCAAAACATCTGTTCTGAAGGATAAACCCATTTTTTATCGGAAAAAGCTCTAGGAATAGAAGACTCTTCTCTCACTGTAGACAATGGAAATGGTTGATCAGGGGAAGGTTGCTGATTAGGAGGTGGCATCTGAATAAAATAATCAGAACAGAAAAGTAGTAGTAAATATTTTGCAGACACTGTTTTCCAATTTACTAACTTTCCTCACTCCAGTTTATGTGTCATGTTACTCAATTTATATTTAAAAGAGAAATGATGAATTAGTTTCTAATTTCTAATTAGTTTCTAATTTCTAATAAAATTTCTCAACACTTTCTGTCCAGAGACCAAGTATTCCCAATGCGCAACGTATTTTTGATTTTGCTGCTCAATTTGTATTTTACTCAATATTCTCAAGTGAAACCAGATCACACAAGTTTTCATTCGCTGGTACATAATAGACAGCTACCATTATGCAACCACTACCATTCTACCTTGGTAAATATGGCATTCTGAGGGTTAAAGGAAAAGCTACACACCAGTTTTATTTCTAATATGACCTTTTAATAACGGGCCCTCCCACCCCCAGACTGTTGTATTCCTCTTTTGTTATATCAGGAATAATGTATCTTAAGCACATTACAAGAGCTGTGAATAGTTTGGCACACAGAACAACATAGGAATTAACACAGAAGTAAGGTTTGTTTATTAAATTAGGCAGGGAAGAGGGGAAAAAACGATGATTTGAAGTACAGCTATAAAACAAGAACAGCATGTGAAGAAATTGATAATCAACTGACTAAGTCTGGCCAGTTTAACAGGGCCACCACATTTGTAAGACCATAACTTACACAGAAATATACATATATTCATTTTCTTGTATCTCCACCTTGTATAAACCAAAGGGAGTACTTACATCTATTCTTTTTAAGGCAGAAAATACCTTGACTAAACAGTCTCATGGTTTCTACTCTGCGTGTCTTTTAACAGTTTCAGAAACAGAAACACTTGTTTGACTAGGAAAAGAATTCTGTAGAGAATCGGCCCCTCCTGCAGGACCTGCCTTTGCCTTGGTGATGCAGGGAAAGGACCTTACACACACCATTGACCCCTTGGTGGTTCCAGCAGCCATTGCCCCAGTGAGTCTTAAGGGCTATAAAACACTGATACTATCCAAATAACAAACAATAGCAAGAAAAACACCTGTTAGACTAAGGAGGGGACTCTGAAAAGAAAGAAAAAGAAAAACAAGGAAGAAAATATCATAAAGAACAACTGGTCATATGATTACCCTATAAACCTGTTCTTGTTAATAAAACTACTTTTGACAATCAAAAGCTGAAAAATCATGTACACTACTGCATGCCTTGTTGCCTTCACTGTCACTCCACTCCTCATCATGTTACAGTTGTATTGTGGCTATCTAGTACAAGTAACTAAATTATTTTGTGTTTTCTACTTATATAGAAATAAAGACATGACTGGCAGCTTGGCAAAGAGTCAATACAGTGGCAGAATCACTTGTTCAGTGATGTTTAGATCCTTATTGGAAGAAAGGCATTTGTCTCAAGAACAGGGCAAAAAGGTTGATAACCACTGTGTTACTCTCCTCCATGTCTTTAGAGAGCAAAATTTAGTTCCACAAGACTGGAATCCTGAGTCTTTAGAAACACTGAAGAGAATAAAGAATTACTAAAGCTGAATCCTATGCACACTTATCTTACAGCAGGCACCACTCAACTTGAATAGAATGACTTTGTGTAAGCAGTATATTGTCACTGTCTCTCCAGAAATGGCAGTCACCCACCCCAAAATCACAGTTCTGTGGAAGTGTGGTTAATCAGCATGAGTTAAAGATCTGGCAACTCCGTGTGACACTGTATGCACCAATTATATATAAAAATATTCTCTAGAAATTAGGCAAAATCACAAACTCATGTGTGATGGTTGTTGCTTTGTCCAAAGTAAAATGACATTTAATATAAATAACAAAAATAAAGCAAAACCACCAATTTTGTTATTCAGAAACATAGGCTGTGTATCTAAAGAAATGAACTGTGATCCAGTCAACCTGACACTTGATCTTAAAAGTGTGACACTAGTGTTTTGTCTTTGTTGTACATGCTAAAATAGATTTACATAAGCTTCCTCTTTGAATTAATATGGAACTTACACATGATAAAGCAAACTGTTGAAATCAGAAACATTTTAAATGTCTGTAAGTTTTTAGACATAGACAGATCTGATCCTACTAGAAATGCAGACCAAAACAAAGAGATTATAACCTAATAATTGCTTATTTCATTGTGCTGCTGGAAGAAGAAAAACAGGATTTTAAAAGCCAGTATTCATCTTCCACAGACATCAGTGAAGACTGCTGTATTTACAGCCAAAGATGCATTATATTTTTATTCTGTTATGAAGGATTCTGTTACTTTGCTGCCCGTCACAAATATTCTAATTTATGCATAAATCTTATAAACAATTTAATTAAAACAGATGTTTAAAAAGTACAGCACTAGGATGGTTTCAAGTAAAGCTTTAGGGGTATAGTTCTGAAAGCACTTTCAGCTGAAGACCTAATGTCTATACTATGAATCTACATAGCTCAGAATATTCTAAGTCTGGACATAAAAATAAATTGTACATTTAGAGATTTACATTGAAAGCAGGAAAAGAAAGACATCAAAACAGCTCTTTAGCCTCTTGTAACTCTTCAGGGTTTTTAATACATCTAATACTATAACATTAAAAAAACAGAAATTACCATATTGCTAGGATCAATCTTGTCATGTGCTTGAGACTTAATAGGACATTCTACATATTCATATGCTCTTTCTTGATGTGCTGGAACAGCAGAGTTCTGATTCTCATCAAGACAACCACCTGAGTTCATATTAATTGGACAGTCTGAAGAGAAAACAAAAGTAACACAGTGGACAACAGAATTTAACTTAAAGGTAACCGAAGTAGATTCCTTGATTTTGCATTAAGTTCTTAACTTCATTTTTTTCTGCTGCTATTTACAGTGCCTACAGCAGCATGAGCTGGCTGGATAGCTCAGTGTATTAAGTATCTGGCTTTGACGCCAGAAGCTGGGAACTCCAGGAAATCTCAAGAAAGTTTACTGATGCAATTCTTTAGTTTTTGCCCCTCACTTCCTGAAATACTGAACAATATCACCAGGATAAGAATAAATCTGAATCATGTTTCCCACCACAGCTGTTTTAATTCCAGCAACATGGTTTTATGTTCATGGAACAGAAATGGAACTAAAAGTTCTTCCCCACCCCAGCAAGCTGTAGAAGCAGGAGTTTGCATTAGAGATGTGTGCTTCGTGTATCCAGGGGATACAAATACAAAGTGCACCAACACAGGTGTCCCAACAGTTCATTCCCACTGCCTGAAACCAGCCCAGTCTACTTACTGGACTCAATGCAGTGTGCATGTCTGTCAACATTGGTGTCGCACCAATCGCGGCAGTAATCCCACTGGTGCTTCCCCAACTTGTCTTCCCACCTCCTTGTTGGAGTGGTTGGCTACGTGGAGAGGCGGGGAAGCCCCAGCAGGACTACTGCCATGATTGGCACAACACCAGTGTTGATGGACATGCACAATACATGGAGCCCAGTAAGTGTACCGGGTTGGTTCCAGGGGGCAGGAATGGACTGCTGGGACACCTGTGCTGGTGCACTTTGTATCTGTATCCCCTGGATATAAATACAAAGTGCACATCTCTAGTGCACGTATGTATTTGTGCACACATGGGCAGAATGCAGTCTATGGAGGATGCCTTGAACTAGACCATGCACACAACTGTCAAACTCTCAATAATCGACAGAAAGCTTTCTCATTGCAAATGAGCCCATCAATGCCCTTCAACACTAGCATTTCTGCTGTAACTCAAACTTTAATGTATTGTGTTTCCTCAACACAAATCTGTCTTTATCAGTCTCAGCTCAAGCCCTCTCTTTCCTACAGAACTCAGTACCCTTCTTCCTGACACAGACACGGGAATGATACCAACCCTAGAGACAAGATGAACAAAACTAGTATCTTTATTAGGTTTATTTCCAGAATGCAGGGGTGAGCAAAATACAACTTGAGAACCATGCACGGATGGACACACCTCAGCTGTGAGCCACAGTTTTCCCCCACTGGAACAAAAATTTGAAGGAGAGACAAAAGGCACCCCCATAAGACTGAGGGGCAGTGGGATGGGCCATTGGAAGACTCTTTCAGGAGGGGGATCAGCCTGTCTCTGAGTTGAAATTACCTATTTCAAGAAACTGGAAGTAATATTCCAAATAAACCCACCACTACCCCAGCTCTGGGAGATCTATTTGCGATTTTTCAGCAGGAAAAAAACAAAGAAAATAAAAAACAACACAAACACAGCCTTCCAAGATCCAAGGGATGGCAAAAATGGTCCCCAGACCTCTAGAAACTGATAATCCTGGGATTCCTCACCCGTCTCACCAGAAAACAGCATGTCTGTCACACAGACCAAAAATGAATGTTAGAGGGCATCCTTTAGCTGTGAAAAACGGCAAACACAACCACACAGAAATTGCTTAGCTGAATTACCTTCTGCTTTCTTCTGATGCATGGGACATTCTGGAGGTATAGACTGAGGCTGTTCGGACACATTTGCCTGGAGGGCAACTGATGGAGAGGATGCAGACAAACCCATGACGATTTCCACCTCTTATGCAAAAGTCAGATTTCTAAACAGGGCATCTGAAACACAAAACATATATATGTGCCTTACTGGAAGAAAGGGGAGTCAAAATAGACAGCTCACACAGAAAAATAAGCAAGGGCGCTGACAAATGATAAAACTGCAAATTTAGTCAGACAATGGATTATGAAATGGGAAGAAGTCAAATAGATGTTCTTAAAAGTACTGTTCAAGCATTTAAAACACCACATTACGACTCGATATACATTAAACTGATCTCTACTAGCTTTTACAATTTAACCCATTCTCCCTTTAAAAAAAAAACAAGAAGACAATCCTACATTTTCAGCATGTTCATTAGACCTTCCCGGCACAAAGTCAGGCCAAGGTTGAAGACCGTTTCCCCTGCTTTCCAACACTTCTAAGCTAAGAAGGGTCTGGACTCAGCCCAGGTGCAGCTAACCTTGTTTCTCCTTGTATAACACTCTTGGGGTGTTTACAAGGAATGGAGGCTGGACGATTGAGGGAACCCATCGTTTACCTCCCCGTTGCGTAACGGCTTATAAAACCGGCACAGGCTGTCAAAAGCCTCCAGCACCCTTTGCTATCCAACTTCGATGAGAAGGCAGACCACAGGAAGGAAATCAGAGGGTTGATAATTTAATCCATGATACATTTGGGGGTGCAGAAGGAGATCTGGATATCTCATCTGGCCAGGGTGACCCTGCACATTAGCCCGATTTAATAGCTATATGACACCCGTCAGGTCAACGGGCAGCAGGTAACACACCCACCCACTCCGCGATACACGTCGTTTTTAGCTTTTCTGTATACATTTTCAGCCCACACCTGCTCAGGGCAACTTACCTGGCCCTCTTCTGCAGCCAGGATATTCACAATTATATTAAGGTATATGTTTAATAGCCTCAAACACAGAGCGCGGGGACCGTTGCGCTCCCGCCGCCCCCCGTCCCCCGCCCCCAATCCGGACCCACACTCGCCTCCAAGGGCAACCCCGAGAAGAAAAAAGTACCGCTTGCCTCTACCTCGTTCTCCTTGGGCCCGGTCACCACGTGAAGCTCGTGCCTCTCTGCCCACCTTCTCGCGAGAGGAAGCTACACCCCGCCCCGCGACCAGGCGGAGCTAAAAATTAAAAAAAAAAACTAGCAAAGGGAACAAACTAAAAGGGAGGCAGGGGAGAAAGAAAAATGGCGGCGGCCGGAACGGGTCGGGGGTTGGAACGCCGCACGCTAAGAAAGCGGGAAGCTGAAAAGAAAGAAGGGGGGGGGGTTGCTTGTTGCCATGGCAACGCCAGAATCAGCTCTTCCTTTGTCACGATTTTCTGCGTTCCTTCTCCCTTCCAGTTCCCTCTTGCGTAAACCTCCAGGGAGACAAACTTTTGTCTTGATCTTTCTGTTTCAGGGCTTCCTTCTGGGATGCCTGGGAGAAGCTTAATTTGAGCTCAGTTCCGTAAAAACATTAAGTCCTCAACAGACGTTGCATCAAAATTACTGAAACTGTAGGCAGGGTTATGGTAGAGCAGTATTAGGTGGGTTTACAATGTGGAAGTAACTAATTGCAAATGACTACAGTAATAAGATTTTTTTTTTTAGTAGTAGGAAGTAGTTGTAAGTAAACATGACTATGATTTAAAGTCTGATAGCTGACAAAATTGCCTATTTTATTCAAATTAATATGCTGTGTTGAAAGGGGGGGATTATGTGTGCATTTGTAGACATATCCTTTACCGAAAAATACTGTAATAGTTTTTACAGTCTGTAGTCAGATACGGTATTGTGGCAGATCAAATTACCATGTGGTTAGAACTTGTGTGGTCAATTTCATAAAGTGCTCACAGTAAGAAAACAAAGGTGGGCGGTAATGTTATTTACAAAAGCATTATTGCTGCAAAGTGGTCCAGAACTACTTTATAGTTTCTTTCATGTCCCTTAGTACTTTGGCTCACTAAATACTTAGATTTACAACATAATTAAAATTTATAGTCCCAATAGCTTTGAACATCTATTGAATTATTATATGTCTCAGGAATTTCTGAAGCTGGATTTAAAAAAAAAACTAAACAATTTATTTAAATGCTGCAGTGCAGATCTAGACTCCAGAAAGCAAAATAGATTATCAGAATCCAACACAGAGCTGCAGTTAAATAATTTATCTTTGTCGCCTTTCATGTGTTAAAACATAGTCCTGCCTTGTGGTAATTTTCCACTGTTGTTTCCAATATGACAGAAGGCTGCAGCATATAAATGATGTAAATTACAGTTAGTAGACATACAAAAGAACAAACTATGAGTGCGACTACAAAGTGGGAAAAATGGAAAATGATCCACTGTGGGAAGTTGGGTTTCCATGGGTAAATTTCCTTTAACTGACAACAGGTTTCCTTGTTTGGAAACCTGTTAAGGTAGCTCTGCTGCAGCCATCCAGATTTGCAGGAGACATGGCTACAGTAGAACTACTTTAACAAGCTACAGGTAAGTGCTGGCTGACAATTTCTTCCTTTCTGGCTCCTGTGTAGTCAACTAAACTGAATGGACGTCTACCAGCTGGTCTTGTAAACAAGGACTGATTGCCAATATTCTCTTTACTCTCTCTTTTGTCTCCTAGGTGTGCCCTAGCTACCAGCACTGGCACTAAGCCTTAAAAAATAAAGAAATAAACAGTTTGGAGACAAGGTGCTCAGTTCAAATGCACCTTTGCTTCCTCTCTCCCCATCTTGAATGAGGAAGCTGGAAGAGCCAGCTTCTAATTGCCCATTCGGCCACAAAGCTGCTTTGGCTCAAGCAATCGCACCTTCTGAACTGATGTGAATGCAGAACCCTCAGTGATAAAAGAAGTAAATACAATGATTCACATTGGCTTGTATCTTGTGTAGTCATTGGAAACTAACATGAATCTGGCTGTCCCAATGCTGGAGGATTGCCCATATTATTTATTAATATAGTCGCCCCAGAAGTAATTCACAAGAAAACGTAACAGTAGTTTAAAAAGTAAGCAATTATAATATCGCTGTTGTATTGCACAGAGTGTTACTGAACTGGTGTTAATACAGTTCAATTCAGAATACCACTATGAGACCAGCTGCCTACTATTGCTGATCATGTCTTCCAGTATGCACCCACAGGATCAGTACTGTACTAAGTATGCCCTAGCTCATATCTTCAGTTCATGCATGGTGATACCCAACAGGCTTCACTGCATTTTGTATAGTTGTGTTTTTGCCTTTAATTTGGCCAAGTTAGTTCACCATAAATACCTGAATAGTCAGTCCCAGTGCAGAGCCATGAACATGTATTAATCAGCTAAAATAAAAAAATAACTGTATTGAGAAAGTTACACTTAAGATAGAAAAGCCTCATTTCTAATTAAAAATAAGTTTTGTGCCAAGGGGGCACATTGTTGCTCCTTACAGAAACAAGGCAGTCAAAGTGTGAAAAGTGACAAGAGCCACTTATCATTCTGGGATAAGCAGGACACATTTGCCACATTCTAACCCATTAAATGTGTGTTGCTCAAGAGGTAAAATTAGTAATTATTCGGAGCTCAATTTGGCTCAGATGGTGCACGGATTAGATCTATGTATATTAAATGGAAATATTACTGGAGATATATCGTCAGTCACAATCTATTGAGCTCCTCTTTCAAACTGGAGATAGACAACAGATAGCGACCATCTGCCTTTAAAGTTTTATCTCAGGCCATTTGAGCACCATATCTGTATTAAGAATGTTCTACAAATTAATCCTGAGGTAATAGTAATACTAAGATTAGCTGGTCACAAAAGACTGAGGGGTTCTTTACTGAACGGTTTACTAGTGATCATTACATTATGGTCTGTACCACCTTTCTCACAATAGGTCTAAATAATGGAATTATTGTCCAGTATGCACTATTGATAAAAGGGCTAATCAGAAGAAAGCCCAAACCAGCAAATTTAGCTCAAATAATTGGTTTGATCATGAGTGCATGATCAAAGAAAGCCCTCATCTTTAAGCTTCATTAGCAAAACGGCAAAAATGGATGTTGAGGACCTACTGAAATTTTCTGTAATTGGTTTGATCAGGAGTGCAATGATGCTAAGAAAGCCCTCATATTTAAGCTTCATTAGCAAAACACAGCACAAATGGATGTTGAGGACCTACTGAAATTTTGAAAACTATAAGAGCTTAAGGCAAAAAAAGAATAGTACACAAGAATCAATATGGGAAAAGCTTATTAATGCAGTCAGGGTGAAAGATATGAATTTATTTTTGGCACCTCACAGCAACAGCTACAAGCAGCTGTTCTGCATGGGCAGATTGTCAAATTCTCTCTAGTGTGGGAAGCCCATTTTCATGAATTATATGCAAAAAAAGAGACATCCAGTTTTCACTTGGAGGATATTGCCAGGAGTTTGCCAGAATGGCCACTACTATCAATATGTGAAGCAAACGACATGATAAACCAACTTAAACCTGGCAAGGCTCCCAGCTGTGATTATAGCCCCCTCCAAAGTTAAGATAGGCATTGCATGGTGGGCCCCGCTATTGGCAAATAGAGATGGGGATATTCATATTCATTTTCGAATACGAATATCCCAGACACTGTTGCAACTAATGCAGGTCCGGCCCACAGAACCAGCCTGTCCACTCACATGTTTCTACGCCACCAGCATCGTGCTCTTCACACCAATTGCAGGAACAGCTCCTTTGTCTCCCTGCTCAGCTGGCCACTCAGCAGCTGTGTGGGGAGACTCGTCATCCTGCCCCCTGCCTGGAGAAGCCAGCCAAGCAGGGATGTGGAGGAACTACTTCCGTGATTGGGAGGAAGAGTGAGACAATGGCAGCACAATGGCACATGAGTGAATGGGCCAGTTCTCGGGGCTGGACCTGCATTATTTGCAATTGGGACTGGGATATTTGTATTCATGAATATGAATAGCCCCATTTCTTTTGGCAAATCTTTCTACATATGTAGACCAGAGTGCCCACATTGTCTCAAATTAGGATATGGCTATTATCACAAAAGGGACGTGGTGGCGCTGCGGGCTAAACCGCAGAAGCCTGTGCTGCCTCAAATTAGGCTATGGCTATTATCATCACAATCTACAAAAATGGCAAGAAAGATAATCAAGTTATTGTCCAGTTAGCTTGCTGCCTATAATGACTAAGCTCCACACAAGAAACTTTTATTGGAAACTTCAAAGCTGGATGGAATTTGAAAGTACTGTATTTTTTGCACCATAAGACTCACTTTTTTCCCACAAAACAGGGGTGTGGAAAGTCTGTGCGTCTTATGGAGCGAAGAAAACAGATTATATTTTCCTGTTTTCTTCTCCTAAAAAATTGGTGCGTCTTATGGAAAGGTGCGTCTTATGGAGCGAAAAATACGGTATTTTGGCTGTTGAGGATGAGGGCTTTAGAATAGGAAGATGCATCCTGGATCAGGCTCTGATCCTGCAGGATTTGGTGGAAAAATATTAGCAAATCTAGAGGTCCCTGTTTGCAACCTTTATAAATCTTAAATATGCTTTTGCTTTCATTTCCAGAGACAGATTGTGGCATAAATGTGAGGTCTCAGCAATACACTGACTTTTATTATCACTTATATACAAGCATCATGAGCATGCAAACTCGAAAATAAGATGTAATTTGGAGGGTCATCTGTCTAGTAAAATCCCTACATATGAGGAGTTAAGCAAGGTTGTATGTTGGCCCCACTGTTATTCAATTTATATATTAACTTACTGGTTTCAGTTCCTAATCAGCCAGATTTTCACTCTACCAGGATAGTAAGATGATACCACTCAGTGATGTTATGTGCTGACAAGGCAGTGCTACTGTCACAGACGCCTATTGGCTTAAAGAGAGCATTGGGTGGCCTAACACATTATAGCCATTAGGAAAGCCTCCAAATAAACTATGAGAAAACTAGAGCGGCGTTTGCAAAAAGACAAATGCTTTATAAATGGTCA